TAATTTAGCTTTAATAAGTTCTTTAATGGGCATGCGGCCTAAAATACTGTCTAGATCGTTTTTGCGAAAATCACATCAGCTATGATTTGACAACAGATACTAAACTTTTCAGTTTAGAAATATTTCCCTATTTAGAACAAACCCTGTTAAGTTCCACAGCTCCTCCTTTGAATCATAGCTCGTTGATTTACTTCTTGGTAGAATGTTGTATACAATACACGTAGGGTTCATTAAACTAAGCTACATATGAAGCGTATAAAATCAGACTCAGCCCTTAAATCAAAGATTTGGATACGATCGGTGATTCGGAGACAGAACGCAACTTGCAGTAAGGGCCCACGCTTTACTTTTGTTTTCTTGTTTGACATAAATGTACTGTCGTATGTCCTCGTACGCTATCGCCTGACTCATACCAAATCCTATTGATTATCCTCGCTTTAATCTGATAAACCATGTCCTCTTAGGTGTAATTTTTACAGGAAGATATTACTCCATATCCGGGGGTCTTTGCGCCGGCACCTACCAGCATCGTTGACAGATGACGACATGTTATAACAGTACTTACATCAACAGCGGCTTATCGGTGCCAAGAAAAATCCATCGCTCCTTTCCTAACAAGAATAGTTACGATATTACTCAACCATTAGTAACTGTTCAACGTAACCGGGATCGATTGCTTTTATAGTACGTTACAACACAAATGGCATTTCGAAAGACTATACTCGTGGGGTAAATAAATATCGATGATGATGCTTTTATAGTCATGACTGCTTAGTATTACCGAACTATAAATAGGCCAACTGAGAAAAGATGTCCACTGGTGCTCGAAAAAGATACTTTCAGGGGCTGGAAAAAGAGAGCTTTATAATTTACTGTAACAATCTATTGGAAAAGATTTAAGACATTGCAATGGTTCGATCTGAGTAATATCGTATCTCACGCTGGGTCAGTGAGTTTCCAAACAAAAAGTTCATTTAAATAAACAGAATTTTGGGATTTGCTCTTAGAAACCAGGAAAATGTACTTTTGTTAAAGGAGTTTCTTTAAATTAAAAGGACTGCCCGCGGTGGTTTCTAGAGAACACATTTACCAAATAATTCTTGCATCCTTCCAGCGAAATTTCATTGACACCATTAAGTGAGTTTTACAGAGATCCAGACAGATAATAGTTTAATGGTGTAATATCTGGGCCATACAGTGGCCGTTGAATGCGTTGAATTTGTCTATCCTAATTTTTTAAATTTTTGCCGGGTAGCTAAAGATGTATGAAGTATGGCATTGTCATGGTGCCAGACGACGCATTTTCCGTTCGTTAATTTTTAATTGATTTTTTTTTGCGTCAACCCGGCCATTACTACATATTGTGAAGCACATTTTTCTATTTTTTTCTGCACATTATTGTCGCATGTGATCTACTTTTCATAAAACTCACCCACTGGCTTAGAAATGGCTCAATTTCGTAGTTTCGCGGATAGAATTGCGATCGAGTAAATTCTCATGAATCAACTCGTGTGGTGCTCAAATATCGAGCTTCGTTCCTTGTCGCTAGCATTCTTCGAAAAGATTAGGATTTCTTGCTAATGGATGTTCAGTAACTTGGCGACCTCATGGCGACTCGTAAATCGGTCTCTCTTAACTTCCGCAATGATTTAGTCAACTTTTTCTGGTTGGTTGATGGCTATTGAAAGCATCTTTCATATCGAATTTCTAAAATAAAAGCGAAAAAAACATCTTTAGGTCGTTTCTGATAAGGCATTTTAGCTGTTTTTTTTTATGGCGCCTTTATCATCACAGAATTGAAAAATATAGCGATTTCTTGCAGACATTTTGCTAATCTTCACAGTGCTCTATCTTGAATCTAAATAAATTTCAACAGTTTTAACTCATCTATTACTGTCAGCTCTGAGCTTCCAGAAAATACCAACACTAACCTTATGCGACACATCTTACCTAAGATATGTGCAAACCGTCTATTTATTTTCGGTAACCGAATATATATTATGTTGTTACAAGCAAATCGGGCGGACATTAAAATAGAAGGACCTTTTAATTAGTTAGGTTAGAACTACTACCTTTAATACCTGTTAGAGTAATACCTGTCCTAATGACGTATTTTTTACATACTTCTCCCAGCATTTGGGGTGCTTTTGGACAGCCATATATTCACAATTCGTGTTTCCATATGTAATTTTTTATTCTATGGCTCCTCGAAGTAAATTGATAATCAGATACGCTTATACAGCAATTGTTTATTTTAGAGCATGGGAAGCCCCGTAATCCACGGATTTAGATCGGGAGAACAAGCCGATTGAAGCTAACGTTAAATATTTCTTTGCTTAATCCAGACGCAGTTTAGGTATGGTGATGAAGTATGGCGTTCGTCAAGTAAGTAGACCGGGTGCTTCCGCTCCCCATACCAACAGTTCATGGGTCTCTTAAGGAATTCAAGACAGCGCGCATTCATTGTTTTATTTCCAGCAAGTATCTCGTACCAGCAGATGCCCCTTGGTATCTATTGCAAGTACTGCCAACCCCTTATGTCCGAATCTACTCAATACTGCCACCGAACTCGATTTCTCTCCAAGATGACGTTATTCTACAGCCTTTTTACTCTCCAGTTGGCTGCAGGTACTGAACTCCGCCTCTACGGCAACCATCTATTTCAAGCAGGTTTTTTTTTTATTAACTAAAAATGCATGTAAAATACATTATGCGAATAATTCTACTGACCTGGAGTCGATTCCGCATTTTCAGTCTAAAATTTTGTAACACATTATATCGGCAATACCAGTTCTGGCCGACAGAGCCCTAAAAACTCCAAGTTCTGCTTTCGTAAAAAGCCTCCTCAATTGCGACGATGCTTTCCTTGTTACCTTTTTGTTGTCCTTCAAGACTCTGATCTCCGTTTTTGAAATGTTTGCACCGCTCACGTACTGCGTCCTTTTTGCCGCATTTTTGCACCAATATTCGATGAATTTCCGCAGCACTGTGATCTTCAAGTAATAAGAATTTCCCCACTGACCGTTGATCGTTGAAATTAAAAGGTATTTTTCCCGAACTATTTTCTCCAAAAAAAACTGTTTTCGTTCACTAATTTTTAGAAGACAATTACATTTCTCATTAAATTCCGTCTGCTGGCGGCGCGTAGTTCAAAAGCTGTTAGATTTTAAAGTCTACCGAAATCGCTTGCGACAGCCTGATATGTATGTTATTTGGCCAATCTCTTGCATGTCCTTATGGACGGTAAAATCATTAACACATGTGACCCGTGAACATCCCCGGTGGTAATATCCCATGTGGAAGTAACAAATTGTATTGCGCTAACATGCTCCACGAAATGGATAGAGTTATAAGAGTTACACGTTGTGTGAAGCTACAAATCTGACTAAAAAAAAGCACTTTGTTATAAAAATGCCTTACATAACCAAAACACTTTTCTGCAATGACAATACTGTACAGAATTATTCTAAGTAATGTTAACCTGTCCCAGAGGCAAAGCGTAGCTGCCTAAATTAAAAATCCGCTCGAGCGCGATTACACCGATGCGTCTTCTAAGGACGTTTAGCGGGATGATCTGGGTTCGAAGGCGAGCGTTCTGATATCCTCTAAAATATAGTTCAATAATTATTCATTTCCAGCCTTCTCAAGGGCAGACTTCTCAAAATTAAGGTTCCTTTGTTATGGAATTTTTATGCCTATGTAGCTGATACCGTATCAAATCAATTTCTTCCGACATTTAAGACTGTAATGTGCCGCTTCTGAAATAAGCTTGTTAGATTATGTTCATTGCCTGCCTCTAGTTGTTATCAAAGTAAATTATAATATAGTGATAGCTTTGCCAATTACGGAAACTTGGCCAAACGCATCAATGAAGTGAGCATGCAAAATCTACAGGAACATCTGATTTTGTCATTTTCTAATGCCACTAAGTAGTACCGGCCATACTAACGAATTCTAGGATAAAGTTGTTTTCCATATAGAGAGCCTGATTTCGTAAATTCGTACTTTTCAGGCAGTATGAATGCCTAGAATCCATGGCGTCATTTAAACAGGATAAAAACAATCGTCTCTGCTGGGCACATTAAAAGCGTATTACCAATTGCACAGCAAATAAAATCAAATCAAGTGAACAAAAGCAGATTCGATTTTAGCTTTGCTCGACACGTTGTAGTGAGATAAAGTTAAGCTATCTTTAGCCTTACAAAAATGCCAAAAGGTTTGGCTTATATATACCAATTACAATTTTAGAAGTAAAAAAGAATTTTAGAAGTAAAAAATATTATAAAGTTTTATATACCAATTACAATTTTAGAAAAATTGTAATTGGTATATAAAACTTCTTAGCATGTTTTACGGTGAAAAACTAACCTGCATTTTCATTGGGAGGTATAGTAACCGTTTTCGAACAAGAATGCAATGCCCACTTCTATGACTCTATTATTTCTATTTGTTTATTATATTATTATTATATATATTACTATTGTTTCACGTTTTTCTGTGGTTCACAGATAAGACAAGTTTTTCTTCGTTGAAAAAGTTCCAGTTTATTATTAAATCGTCTCAAAACTAACCTGTTCGTATACAACTTTCGATGCGTGTCACGTTTACTGATTAGGCGAACTGAACAAGCGATCAGGGAGTAGCTATAAACAAATAGAGTCGTTCTATACGATACAAAATGTGTTTGTTGTTGAATAAATTTCTCTATTCACACAGAATGGGTAGTTATGCATCCTTGGTCGGACTCAATACAGCAGCCCCTGGTCTCTATCACTCGTAGGCACTTCGCCGTCTAAAGTAGCACGTAAAAATATTCAAAGCGGTTAACGATCTGTCGGCGTAAGTTTGATATTAAACGCTTACAGGTCCGTCGGCGAAATACCTGACCGAAAAGGATGCGCAAGTGAAACGCTTATTGTGTTCCAGCTGTTCAAATGTTAAAAAGAATGAGAGAGTACAGGGTAAAAAACGCAGTGTAGGAAGGCATTGACTTAGCAACACAGCTAAATTACATACATTTACAATTATCTTCAGAAATTGTTATCATTATGTGAACCAAAGCAATATGTCCGTATTATGTTCAAAACATTGCAAACAATACATTTCTTATTAAAACTAATGTGTAGTGTTTATCTCTCGTGGATTCGTCCTTCTATTGTTCCTAAGTTGACTATTCTTTACCAGCAAATGAAGCGCAAATCATACACAATTATCCGTTCTATATAATTGTAACCGTAATATATTTTTAATCATATTCTTCTAATAATTTTTTGTTTGTTTTTTTACATGTTTTCACCCCTGCATTTTCAGCAAGTGCAACCAGATGGAAATACGAGCAGAAATCAGACTTCTACTGTCTTGTCTTAATTGAAAATAAATACATACGTAATTAATTAAAAGGTAATTAAATACAAATGACAATGAACGCTATTATGGATGAACTAAATAGCGATTTCGTTATGATCGTGATGGTTTTGCCTTATTGTCACGTACGTGTCTATAATAGATTTGATTTAATGTAGATAAGTTAATTATTGTTTCCTTAGTAAACTGTACACTGTTTCTACCGTTTTCATTATTTTTTCTTTTGTTTGTACTTAACAACCTGGTGAACACCACAGCTTTTTGTCCACTCGATTTGACTGCATTCCTTTGTAACCTACGAGCTCTGCCTCTTAATCAGCTTGCGTCCTAGAAAATTGGGGTAAATTCGTAAAAAATTATACCGTTTCCTCTAAATTGTTACCTGCAGCCGTTGAATTCGCGACTGATTTCACTACCTTCTCCATAATAGAAACCACAGAACATATTTGTCTCGTCGACCTTCTCTTACATCTGCCACACCTTCCTTGGCTTTCTTATCTCTCATTCGGTACAGATTAGCTTATTAATCGAGGAGTTGTAGGAGTCTTGACTCAAAGGCTCCTTGTTTGGTCATCCTTGATCCCCAAAGGATCCCTGGTTTAATGTCTTTTCTTGTTCTTTTTCTTAGCATCTTTCTTACTGGAACCGCTGTTTGCTTGCTGCGCCTCCTGAAGTGGACAAATCAGAATCTTGTTAAAATTTACACTACTTCTTTAGACTTAATTTTCGCTTGATTTACATTAATTTTAGTTTTTATAGTAAATATTAAAAAACGTTTACCTTTATGATCACTAAGATGATTTTGATATAATGAAATGAAATGAACAGATGCAAGATGAAATGATAAAAGAAACAGATAACAACGACTAACTAACGCGCTAACAACGACTGCCAGATTTTACCCAATTTATTGTCCTGAAAAAAAGTGCTAAGCAATCTCAACAAATTAAGAATACTGACAAACTGAAAACAAAAATAGAGGTCTAGCATAATTCCCATGCCTGGCTTTCTTCCGGCAAAATTCCGGTATCCGTATTGTCATCGTTTATTGTGACAGCCTCAGGTACCGGCCCCTCAGCTATTCCTTCGGGGGTTTGCTCAATATCTTGCGAAACTTTCTGTGCAACTTCAGTACTTCCGGCTAACTCTGATTGAACTTCCTTTTGTCGAACCTTCAATGCATGCTTATGCTGTTCGATCTCCCTTTGTTTTCTGAGTAGCTCTTCCTCGAGTTTGATTTTCTCTTCCGTAACGACTTGGCTGGCGACACTTGACTCAAGTTCGGCCATATCCTTGTTTGTGATTCGTAATTTATCTTGTAGTGAACGGCAAAGTCGTGAAAGAGTTTCAACTTTGAAATCACTTTTGGTCTTTTCTTGGAACACTCGAGCCGTTGCGAGATTGGCCTCTTCCCACCGTTGTTTCCATTGAAGAGCTTCTTTTTCAAATTTGCGAGTCTGTTTACCCATCGATTCGACTTCGCCCTTGAAATCAGTGAACATCTGTAATCGGAAGTAATAGATTACGTCCTTGTTAAGCACATGTCTCAAGATATTGGTTTGTCGAGCTCCGTTGGGTTGAACCAGATGGCAGATCTAGATCAATTTTAACCTCAATATTTCACGTCCAGCACCTTCTTTAAAAACTGCTTTAAACAGCTGCAACGCTTTTTTTTTTTTGGATTGTCATGCTGCAACTTTGTAATTCCTTACAAAAATGCATTGATATCAACTCATAACGTAAGTAAATTTAATCAGAACACTGAGTGAGATGTTATTATTGCTAGTACCTGACGTGCAAGTTTCAACCGGCGCTGTTTCGGCCACTTTAAGAGATACAACAATAACAACTGAGGTGCAAAATTCACGGTTACAGTTCATTATGTACCTTATTGCTGGACACGATCGCCTCCTGGAACTCTTCGTACTTGTCGTTGTGCAGTTTTAACTGTTCTCGAAGTAGAATTTCGTTTCGGAGCGAAGCCTTAAGTTGCAATTGCATCTCCTTTGTGGCGGTCTCAAGCAATTTTCTTGAGTGCTCCACTTCCGTCACGTCTTTTTCACGAAGAAGTTGCGCTTCGCGAAGTTTGGCCATTGCGAGGTCAGCTTCGATAGTTTTCTGTTTTAGCATATTTTCCGAGTGCTGCATGAATAGCAGATGTATATAAGTATATATTCATAAAAATATGGGCAATGGAAAGGTTCGTCAGCTTCTAATAAAGAAACATTACAGGGCAAAGCTCTTACAGCATTTACTAATATGTATGCATTGTACATACGGTAAGAAAGACCCACTAATGAACCTCTTATTTTGCAGACAGCTTTTTGGGTTTCTTCCTTCTTTCAGCTCGCTTACCTTCTCCCAGATATCGTAATGATTAACAAGCGTCCGAAGCTTGCCAGCCAACTGAGCATTGTCTTGCCGCAATTTAGCAGAAGTCTCTTGAGTATCGGCCATCAGGGTGGAAATATCAGTCAAGGTCGCTTGGAATTTCGCAGCAATATGCTTCCGCTTCTCTTCTTCCTCGCGACGACGTAAAGCCGATTCCTCCTTGATTGCATTATTATGTTTTTGCAGCTCTCTATAAAAGCGGGAAGAAGAACCGAACAGCGAAGCATTTCCCAGCTTAATATAGAGTGTATGAGTAAATACGCAGATCATGGTAAGCTCGTCACAATGGTTTCTATATATTCGTGATGGTCGAAAGAAGGCGCTTACTACGTGTTTACCCTCGAAAACATTTTTTTTAATTCATTAGAACACCTGTTAGTAATCTAATAACACTATCATTCGCGCTTAACGTAAGAGGAGTCTTTGGCTCAACGAGCTTTAGTGATGACTGCAACGATAATATAGTGAACTTGTCTTGTTTGTAGAAAAGGGAGCTGTATGGCACAGGAAAAGGGCACCGTGTGTATATATATACATATATATGAACACAACGTTAATATATTTTTTAAATAAACGCTCCACGAAACGCACTTATACCAAAGTGTGTTTCATGTCTACATATACAATATTTGCGCATTGTTTTTCTTACAAGCGGAGCTGACTAGCATAGCACTATCTAGAAGATAGAAAATAACCTACCTACACTTAAAATTATCAAAGACTAATAGAAAATAACCTGCCTACACTTAAAATTACCAAAGACTAATAATACCATCATCTGTAATCATCGTTAACGTACCGACAAAGCCCTTCAAGGCGATCCCTCGCCAACAACGAGCGGTTGTTCTCTTTCTGACTTGCCTGGAATTGCTTTTTCCACTTTTCTGCAGTGGCCTGCGTTTCCCTGAGCTGCTCTAACGTCTCATAGTGCAGTTCGCATAGAGCGCGGAGTTTACTCTCGACTGTATCAATATCGCCAAGGCTACGCAATACGCTCTCAACAGCCTTTTTTTTTGAACTTGCCGATAACTGAAAACAGACGGAATTTGATTACAGTAAAAAAATGTAATCGTCATCTGCACTAAATAATTTGTTTGGAAAATCGCGTAGTGAAGCTGCGTACGATAATCACTCATTTGTTAATTATACTCAATTTAGATGCGCTTTATCCTGAATAAAGTACGTGCTTAGGAATAGGAGTTAATAGCATTATATATTGAGAACAACCGATTGCCCTGCTCCGTACCCCATGTAGATAGATTAATACTAACAAAAAAATCTGAATCTAACATGTCGAAAGGTCTATTACCTTTTTTGCAGGTTCCTGTTTGCTGAGATCGCAGATTCGATCTTGCAAAGCGCGGTCCTTGTCCTGGCCAGATAAACCAGAGGGAGGTGGCGTAGCGCTCTTTGAATTCGCGCGTTTTTCCCGTTTTCCGGCGGTTCCCAAGGACGAACCGCTTCCTACAGGAATAGGGGTTCGGGCCTCGGGTTCAACTTCTTCGGTCATACCTAACATAAGCGTTTATATTATTTCATGCGGTGCATGCCTTCCGACATGAGTTATGCGCCATTCGATAGGTATAAATGTAGCAGATGCGGGGAGCTGTGTGACGGATACCCCGCCAGTGTACTAATTTGACCTTACAAAAAAAGAATCATCTTAACTGTCTTAAAAATGTCTCAATTTACAATTTTAAATTCGTTTATGGAACTTTTTAATAGGAAACGTCGTTGCGCAATAGTTGTTTTCATTTAACTCGAATTTTATCGAGCTGAATTGAATGGAAATGAAATAACTATTATTTCTTAGGAACCACAGTTAAATTATTCCTTAACTTACAGTACCTATAAAATGTAGATAGAAAGCGGCGATGTACAACATCATAATATTGCATGTTAAAATGGTAGCCATACGAAAAAAGAACGAGGGCAGGTGACTTATTGTCCATACACTCTTTCGTTGACCTGTGAACTTCTGCAGTAAGCGCTGCCAGCTTCTCGCCAATGTTTTTTTCGATTTTGAGGCATTCTTCCTCGCACAGTCGGCGCTCTTGAAGCACCTTAAGTACATCGCCCTTAACGCCTGTACGAGAGACAATTAACGACATAATACAATTGTATCCTTAGAAAAAGTTCAACTAGTAAAAGGTCGGAATATTTTGCTAAGAATATTTATCCGTTCGTGGCTTGTTTTTAATTTTGAATATTACTACAATTATTTTAAGCAGTAAAATACCTAACATAAAACATACCCTGTGCACTGCCTCTGCATTCAAAGAGGATCTTATTTAGTCCGCGAATTTCTTTTTCTGATAATCGCTGTTTCTCCAGCGCGTCCTTTTTCTGTGTCACTGAAGCTAGTTCCTCGGCTGGCGTAAGACCTGAAGTAGCCTGATTTTTTGCAAGTGTTTCTTGCTCAATAAATCCTTCCTGTTTTTCGGCGACATCTAGCTTCAAATCGTCTGGGCTTGATTTGGGTTCACCCGAACCGATTTTCTGAAAGTAAAATGTATGAAATAAATTGTACCAATTGATCTTTGAATTTTTTACTGTGATGACTATCCCAACGGCTGGTTTACGTTGAAACAAAAAAGGCTGCCAGTACCAATCAGATCCACAAAGATCCAGATATTGGAGGCGAATAATTTCTGGCCATATTATGCATTCTAATCTCCCATTATCGTAAATCCTCTTTTGCACTTTATGACTGTGTACTTAAATTCGGTTGGTGCATAAATAGATAGAGTCCATTCACGTAGTTTGCCATATAAAGTAGTAACAGGGAGTAAGTACACAATTGGTAAACAAAAATTTTTAATACATCATTAAGCTACTAGTAGCAAACAGTCAAACTGCATAAATAATCCGTGTATTAACTGCGCACTTGCTAGCATCTCTTAGACGGTAATCTGGCTGACCCTACGCCGCAATTCGATTTGCAAAACATTGTTTATTTAAACGTTCGTCAACAATAATCTGACTGAACCCTAAATGCAGATTCTACGTTTACGTAATAGAGGAGTTCGATTACTGAACTTAGGAACACATGGTGGTCTGGGTTCAAAGCCCGGGGTGGAAACACTTTGTTTATGTCGGAAGGGGCCGTCAACTCTCTGAAGCAATACTCAACTAACACAATGCTGTACGTATAGTTCGAAACATTTACTTAGGTCCTCTGATTATACCTGCTCTTTCGCTGCTGGCCAAGGAGTGCTCAGTTCCATAACGCCGATCGCAGTTTCCTGCGCTTTCGAGATAACCTTGACGACGTCAGCTACAATAGCTTCTGTTACTAGCGGTTTCTCGGATTCAGATATTTGGGCCTCTAACTGGTGCTGTTCTGGTGTTTGTTCATGATTTTGTTTCTGGCTCGGTGTGCTTTTGTTTTTTTCGTCATCTTTGCCTCCCAGTCCACTTGACGGAATGGGTGAAATTACATCAGACATAACAATATTAAAATTGTCTCACTTGGCGCAAACTATTTCTGAAAATAAAAATGAAAATAGTATATCAACAATAAGACAAACGAGAAAATTGTTATAAACCGTTGGATTTGTAAGTAGGTCCTAGCGGTACATATGGTAATCGATTATGATCACCATAGACTCTGATATCCATGAATGTGTCCTAGGCGAAAAAGGCAGTCATTCGTTTCTCAAAGCATGACTGAGTCTCTAAGTAAAATATAGTGTTTCCAAAAGAACATTACCAAAGAACACAGCCGCGATTTAGTGGTATAACGTTATATGATATTCGTAAATCTATAGAAGACACAGCTATAACGGGCATCCGAACTGGAAATAAAAATACTTCAGTATACGAAACAGATCCGCAGGGTATGTCTTTTTTCTATTAACATAACTAGTTCTTATTACCCTATGGCATGACATGTCGTTTGCCAGCGTCGTGGTTAACATTTTCTTTATGACGTCTAGTTTGCAATCCCTCTAATTTATAATCTATAATAACAATAAAAACGAGGTCTCTGCATAGTAGTAGTAGTTTACGCAAGTAAAGCCTGTATAAGCACCCATTTGTTATACTATATCTAATGCAATAGACTTTAATAAAAAGAAAACTGAATTTAAATAGCTTTTATAAATCAATTGCAACATTAAGGAACAACGTATACTAAATATCTTAAGCCTAAACATCTGAGATCGCCAGCTAATCTTTTCGATTATGTTTATCTGTAATATACGTATAGACGATGATGTTTTGCATTTATTTCGTTTGATTCTATTGGTCATATTAAAAGCACGTACGAAACTTTGCCAACTGTAATTTATCCCCGATAAAAATAAAAAGTTAAGGCAGAACAAAGCAATGTACGTTCCTGTCAACAAATTGGACGTAAAATGTAGGTAGTCTAAAAAGTTACCCTCTCTAGTTTCGACAAACATTACTCTAACTGACACGCTTAGCGCTTGTGGTTGAATCCTGATTATTAGAACGTGGTGCCGGCAATATGCAGCTTCTATACCGCAGAGTCACAGGCACGTTTGTTGGAAAATGTCCAGAGATATCCATATTCTCAGTTTCAAACTCGACGCACACGCGGTGCTCGCGAACGAACTTTACGAGGTTACCAGCTCAAGCACGTCGATTAGTTCAGCTTTGGAATTATATTCAGGTTAGTTATCTATACTATCAAACTGTAGTACCAAAAAAAAGCTGTTGATGGAGGCAAAAACGGTAGACAGCGCTTCTACTTACCTTAGTCATGCAGCAAAAGATGCAAGGAGAGGATATTTAGAACGAGGCACTCCTTTTTCAGTACTAGCTTGGTATTAGTAGCGGCACCAACGAAACTGCCGCTACCGAGAGCAGCTGCAACCCTGACAGGGTTTAGGTTTCCACCCTCCGCGTAACAGTCACAGACGACGTGATTCTTTAGCACGCGAAATGCCAAGCGGTCAACCGTAGCACAATAGTACGTTACATCAGATCTTGTCTGACTCCTGGTTTGGTTTGTCTAACTGAGTGCGTCCAAGTATACACCGTATACTCTAATCTGATCTGACTCCTAAACTGGTCACTAAGAAGCATTCGACTGCCACGGCGGTAAGGGCGCGAGGCGCAAGAGTGTAGAGTGGGTGAACTATACGGAAGTGCACAGAGACCACAACATCGACCAACAGATCTCTACCGCGGAACAGGTTCGAGCAGACTATCGGTCCAGCTGGAGGCTGTGTAAGCAAATGGCCGTCGGTTAGGTAGTGCTTTCGGGTAAAGCCGTCGGACTCTGTGGAACAGGCTATCGCCGGGTTGAAATATCGATACTGCATAGTGAACGAAGCCGGGACTGGTGTTCTAGCAGACCACCTCGCTAGCGGCTCACACGGCATAAAATTCATTGTGATGATTTTAAACAAGAATGCGCGCGAATGGGCAGTATTGATTGAGATGGAATAAAACAGCATGTTTGTAAAACACTTGTTTTACAACACACGAAGACTTGTTACATGGCGCAATGTTTGACGTCCGAACTTACGACCAAAGTGAGGTAGTCCAAGACACTTCCTACGACACAGTCACTTTAAGCCGTGACTAACAGCAGCACCGAATGTGAAACCTGAAACAATCATTTAACTTGTGGAAAGTGTTTCCATGTTTTTCATGTGGACTGAAGTTACGTCAGAAAATCAGTTTGAGCAAACTACCCTATTATTCGTATTTCGAAACGATTGAATTTAAACATTTGCTTAAGAATTGATAAATCGAAGACAGACATGTCAGTATGAACCAGACAATGATCATAAGCACAATGGCGTGTTGATATGTTATTCCCTTATCTGTAGTGTTGTTTATTCCTAATTTATTAGTGTTATTACAATTATTTATTGTATACATCGATATAATAAACAAATTTGATTGGGAAATGAATAAAATGGACAATAAGGTTCGGTCCAAATAAGCTAAGGATAGGATTTCGGAGCAGGGGGTCCTCAACTTAATCTCAATTTATGGTACTGCCGCGGGGACAACCGAAACGACGAGGCTTGTAAAACCCAACCTAAAATGCAGTTCATCTCCACTTGTAGCAATTATAGTTCGAATAAGAAAAAACCTATTAACTTCCTTATGTTTTCTTCGTATGGAAAAAAGATCTCGATTTTCACAATTTTAGCCAATGTATATTTAGGCCCGAAAGCACTTTATACAACAAAATATAGAAGTAAACATTGTCTCAGTAGCTTTGTTAACAACGGAACGGGACGTTTTCACAGCCATTTCCGGCTGACGAGACACAGATGCCATCGACGAGCTACGCTAGAATTTATAACTAGTATTCATACATGTTATTTCATATGACGTATTTATCAAATATGATGAGAAAAGCGCCTGACTTCGAGTGGCCAATATTACGCTTTGCAGTTATTCATTTGCAGCACAAGACTTCTCTTAAAGGACACAGTTCTATAAGAAAATTTAAAAAATTCGAACATAACAATTGTAGTGATATGATCAGTAATAATAATTCGAATATAATAAGTATAATATAAATAGTCGCTAAAAAGCAGCCTCGATTAGGGCAGCATTCTGCTCAGCTGTTTAGGCAGCCAAAATGGCGGCGAGACTGAAGCCTTCACAAAAATTAATATTTACCATAATGCATACTGCGCCTTCAAATGGCAGACTTTATTAGCTATGAGTTTGACGACAATCGTTTGCCGAAGTATGCGGTAAAGGCGAAAGCCGAATGCATGATCCTTATATTGTAAATAAATAAATTAAGCATAATACGTGTCTCAGTCGATTCGAAACTCAGAGTACGAAAATCGACAACACGAGTCCTATCAGCCGCCGCTACGACCTAATAAATTCGCGTCATTCGCCCTTGCGAACAAAATGTGGGAAAGTAATTGCTATATATACATATATATATATATATATATCTTGCAAACGGTTTATAGTTACAAATTACACACTAGTTTTTGCTTACAAATGTCAAATTAATCTATAAAAAAAGTTTATTATTGATTTAATAAGTTGCTGATAACAGTGGGCTATTTGGGGATAAACCTCAACGGGTATTTCACTCTAGTTACGGTTACCAAATTTTCATACATCGTCGGTTTTCTGGTGTGGACTTTATCTATAGAACATTTAGTTAAGGAAAAGTTCATTGGCGTCGTGTCTAGCAGACGGAAAGAGCATTTGATGGGACGTATTCGTCCAACCAATCCGGTTGAAGGATTCTTATCAAGATGTGCTTCTATGACAATGGTATACAATAGTATATAAGGCATGATTATGATGATGACGCTGGTAGAATGCAAGTGTTCGCTCTTGCTGGAAGCAAAATTCAATCTTCACTAAAGTCTTTCCAAACGTGTAGAAAAACTGGTTCTTGTATAAATACAAGTGCACATGTCTACATAGTCTCTTGGGATATTGTTTTGCATATATAAAAATATGAGATCTGTTTATAAGTAGGCGGAGCGAGGTCGGAGCTCTATGCGAAGTCTGCATGTAAAGCTTTAGGACATAGTATTAATACTACTGGAATGACTAGAAGCAGCGAGCGATACTGTTACACTGTGAAATGGTAGGAAACAGAAAAAAATAGGAAAACGATAATGTATGAGTTTGGCCACCTTTATGAGAACTTCATAGAAGAAAATAGAGATTTGAAAATGGCTAGGCAGCTGTTCTAACAGCAACTTGAAATAACCGTCTTTTCAGTTAGATGCGCCCTGTTTGCTCTTTTACCCTAGTGCCGGTTTTGAACAAAAAGCCACAACGGAGATCTATAGGGTACTTTCTAGCCTTAACTTATTCTGCTAGCATTCGCTATACTAGAGAACTTTTTACTGGCCTTTTTACATTTATCGGCTTACTTCATCATTCGGTCCGGGCCGAATTAGATGCGCAAATATGCCTCGACCCTCGTGACATCTGAGATGGTTCAGGTTCAAGACCGTATCCCTGTGTGGATGTAAAAACAGCGGGTTTGAGATTGGGCATAGGCATTCTTTGATTCTTGTTAAAAGAGTGTACCGTCTAAAACGATGCCTCAAAGTAGTAGTGAACGTGAAATTCGAATGTAAAACCCAGGCCATCAAGCAATTTCCGCCTATAGGGTATAATTAGACGGGCTATAGGTACTTCACGCACTCAATGGATGAACAGCTGGACATAAGGGATCGTGACCGATTATTTAGTCCAATGAGGCCTGATGAGTCCTTCACATACTCAGCGTCATAATACATACGCTCGTAATATGCTTATTGCTGCGTCAAAGCTGTACGAATTCAATGGATATAGATAGTGCCTGTGCTAATACCACATAACGGGAAAGAGAAGCCGAACATATGGATTTAGACTTAAAGTCGGGGTAGAAACAAACAAAAAAAATGGGCATCCGAGGAATCGTTAGAAGGCATGTTGTCCCTTCTATAAGCCTACAAACTTCCTGAGGTAATGGATGTTAAACGAGGAGTTTATCTACTAGATACTAATAATTATCATCATCGCCGTCATACATTAATAAATTGGTAGAGGTGATTCTAAAAGGAAAAACTGAAACCTACAATAAAAAGGGTAAAAAGATTGTGCGACAGGCATAAAAGCCAATTTCCGATGGGAATTTTTTAAGTATTCTAGTAAAAAGCTTATATCACTCCCTTGAATTGTGATGCGAATGGTCTCCTAGTAGAAACGGAGCAGATCCGAGTTTGGCGACTGGCGGTTTGGGTTTAGTCGGCGCAAATCGAACATTATAAGGAAATTTTAATTGTGGAGCGTGAGGGCTAATGCATTATAAAATGTTTCATGCGCTAGTTTCACAGCACGCTGCAGTATGTCGAGGGTATTAAACACGGAATCAGGGGATTTATTCGTGAAAGAGGTTTTCACCAATATTAGGTCAGTCTGTAACAGGTAGAGTATTGACGAATCGACAAACGAGCTATGTGCGGGAGTCATGTGCTTGCAGCGACAGTCTGGGTGTAGAAACATTCGAAGATTGCGCAATGCATATGTCAAAAAAAGAACAACAACATTAATAACGAAGAGAACGACAATTATGTCAACAAATCTCCACAATGAGATCTAAACAGAGTTCGGATCTACATTTTTATGTACTATTCCCTGTCCAGGAATAACAATAACAACACAACAATCGTGTCTTCGTATTTGAATCGAATGCTGTAAGCAGTAGCTAATTAGGGATTATACATGTATAACTAAGGCTATTCATTTGGCACTTATAACATATATTCACTGTTGTGACGTAATGCAGAACCTGGACCAGGAGGAATATAGACTGGAAGTGACACACGGCTTTGACACAACGGTGAAATCAGTGCACGTATTGATCAATCAGGTATAATAAAGCTGCCCTGACCCGAGAGCTGTGCGGACATGAAATGGCTGGCAGCACGTTCGGCATTACTTGTAAGGATGTTGTGTCTATTGTAAGTAAGAGGTATTATATACTGCACTGGAGAAAGTTTAGCAATAACCCCGGTTAGTCGCCCTAAAAGTTAAAGGATTTCCAAGGGGCGGATACGGCGAATCATTATGTCGGGAACTCGACGCGTGTAGAAAGAACCCAATGTACAAGCAATTGCAAGCACTGTACTCATATGTCCCCAGTTACCACTATAGAAACGGCTCATGCATTATCGAAAAATTATTTAGTTTTGCAGGTGCTCTTACCGTGATAGCCAAACAAAGATGTTAAGCTATTATCAAGACTGTGTATTATCCCAAAAAAAAATGTAAGGAGGTAACTTCGAAGTTCGTAGAAATAACCTGTATAAACAGTGTCGAGGACGTATGCGCTCTCAGTCGTCTTAGCTTGAATAGGATACCGTCGCAGAATAATCTGGACAAGCTCGTCGATCAATGTTCATAAAGCGTTCATTACAACCTTGTGTGTATGTTTATTGCATAATGTTCCTTTGAGTAAGAGTGCTTTATAGTAGTAAGTCGTGAACAAGCGTTCGGCACAGGAAAATCCACTAGTTCAGACAAGTCGAAACTCACGAAACGGAATAAGCAATACAGAAACTGTGTCTGTGGTAGTCGTTACGGCTTGATTTAACTGCGTCTCGTATCATAATGGCCACTTGCTTTAAAAATCTGGCCAACGAAATTTACCAATTTAAGAAATCGCGGAGTCATACCAAAAGTGACGCACATCTTAGATCAAGCCATTGGCAAAAAAAAGTTCGGTTTCAAAAAACTCTCTGCAATCACGTAGGTACGGTTCAGGAAATGAACAACTGCAGATCTCGAAGATGACGTCTTAGCGGGAACTGAGAATAAAACTTCAGCGTATTTTATTTCAGAGATTAGAGATAGAAGCGAGGCTATCCAATTGTATGAACGTACGCTAAGACAGAACGGCTCAGGCGTTCGCCGAGCAGAGTGCTTAGTTGTAGAGTAGTTGTTTGCCCAGTTTCCAGGTTAATCAACAAGCATCTTCCTTTGACCAGTAACGAAGACCTATAATATTTTGTTAAACTTGCACAACCCTTTAATATTGTACCAGTTCAGTAAATAAACATTATAATAAATACTACATTAATGCACAGATGCAATTCTGCACCGTGTAGATTTGTCAACAATTTGATTAAATTAATGAGATTATATATTGTATATCTCGTCGCGCAGACACATTTCGTATCGCACTGCTGGAAGCTAACTGTATGAAGCAACGCTTGACGACATTGCCGACCAGTCTAGTTTATGTCCAGCTGATCCCACTGAACGTCACAGATGTAGTCAGGTGCTTAAGTTATCCAACTGCAGTTTATGGAAAGAGTCCGTAAATAGACTTCATTCAGTTGTATATGTTAATCTGTCTTAACTTGCACGGCGGTAAAATCTAGCCGCCCAGTTGTTAATTAGTAAAAATCACTGTTGACGCAAAATAAATGATCATTTAAAACTGAAGATAATGCTGGAATAACTTTTAATACTCGTAAATAAAGTTAAAAGCCAGAGGTCGCTGGTACAAAGCCTATCAATGCCACATATTACACGAAAAGTGGGATTAAATAATTTGTAAAGAAAACTCGAATAGCTTCCAATACTTACACGCCCCTTATATGCATAACCTACGTCATAAAAAAAGTATGTTTTTCTTTAATTAGTAAAACATTAGCTACTTCTTGTTTTTTTTCTTTAATCGAGACCCCGCCGTCCATAGTGTTCCATGCGGCTATTCGCAGTTTATTTCTTCCCAGAATTAGTACGTCCCACCATGAACTCATCTCAACTAGTTGCTCAACTAAAACGATTTGGCAATAAGCGCACTCGTTCAAGCCATAAACATTCCTTTCGAAACTATACAGGGCAAGGCAACGGTCACTTGAAAAAGCAAATAACTTTGATAGTTTGGAAGTACTTACTTAACTTGCTTAATTTTTTTTATTTTTGCTCGCTTTTTCTTACTGTACATAGAAAATCCTTTGATCGGCGAAAATGATACCCACCATGTCGAAGCTGAGGTCAAATCATTCATTATGCACAACGATATTCTAGGCAGGCTAGGTAGCTCTTAACTGAAGAAATTGTTACCGATTTTCGAGCACATCAACGTATTGAAAATAACAATACCGGTATGTTTGATTTTTTATTTGACCAACAAGTATTTTCTCATTTTTATTCATTTCTCCATTATTCGAGTTTCACCGAGAACATGTAAAAACGGACAGCCGCAGGCAAACCATGGATCTAGGAGTAGAGTAATTCATACGAATATTGCTTTTATATTATATCACTGCATTCGTGTACACTATATATATATACTTCAAGTCACGCATTTATTTCTTATAAATAGATCTATGTGCCTAACCTTGACAAGCTAGTAAAGCGCACATATACATCGCTATGTAATAAATTATTATCAAAATTTTTACTAGTTATTGCTATCGTAAGTTAAAATATATTGATAATAGCAGTCATCGGTCATTAAATTAACAATAATAAAAACGACAATAGTGATGATAGCAACAAAAAAAGCTAGCGTCAATCGAAGATTCGTTTGTAACAGCAGAAGCTGAGAGATACGATGTTTCTATTCGCATATCCAAGGGTGGTTCAGTTCAATCAATGTATGTAAGTTCGTGCTTGCTTGCTGATAATGAGTAATAGTGACATCCGTTATATTACCGCAGACACAAACTGAAGGTGACGAGAGACAAAAGACCTTTGACAAATGAGGCCAACTGTTGTGACACTGTTCTGGGTTATTATATACATCGTAATGGCAAGGGTACCTGCCACCGTCTTATTAGTGGCAGCGTCATGGTGATTATTTCACGACGTCCTAGGCCTTTAGTGAAAGAACTACTAAAATAAACGTGTGTTGGACGCCTGATGTGCGCATGCATCTATTCGTAATAATGTAAAGTACCAGTGTTGGGCGCCTTGTTCAGAGTCACTAATGAATTGTAGTCCATATTGATTATTTGTCTGACGAATTCGGTGAACTGGCGCAACTTGTACCCGACATGAGACCCACTCCTACTTGGCTACCGGTTTTCACGTCTACCGGTGACTAAGAGAATTAATTGATAATGTCGTTAAATCTATATGTATAGCTTCAATGTAATGTAGCCATGTTGAGACCCCCTACCCGCCTGATACAATATGATTGAGCTCTGAGTGACTCGGAAAAGAAGTATATTCGCATTACTATTTAAAGCTAGCATTCTTTGGCTTCTTCTGCCTCGTAGATGGTGTCGGATGTTCGCCTGAAACGACCGAGGGGAAAATACATTGAAATTAAATAGGAGCCCATTTGCTATTGCACGTATGCACGCCCTATGTTCGATGAACCTGTTGTTTCAAGAATAAAATTGTGTAGTACATAACATAAAACGACTTTTTCGCTTCAAGAGCGCTGTGGCAACTACTTCCTGTATAGGGAAACTTGAAGATTAATAATTATATGCAAATAATGAGGTAATCTGCTCTGCCGGAAATTAGAATCGGCCTTTCGATGCGAACAGACGCACTTGATTGTAGTGTAACCTAACTTGACTGATATGTTTTCAAACGTGAGGTTTTGAGGTTGAATGGTTTTCATAAGGTTAATTCAAGGAGTAGTGAATATAAGCTGCGAGCGCAGTCGACTACCATAGACCTCACCTGTTAGAAATGGTCGGTTTACATGCTTATCCGCAAGGTTAAAAACACACCGAAATACCCACGACCTTTGTGACCCCAATTTTTCAGGCCGGAAACTTTTTCTAGTCATATAGCGATATGCTGTATTCTAGTCATACAATACACCTTAAAACATATATTCAATCGTTTTATAACAAGGGTTATATTGCAAATGTATATGCTACATAGCCTAGAACCAGAGCACGTCAAACAGTGATGTCCGTCTCCGATGCGGTGAAATTTTTGACGATTTGTCGATATCATTTGCTGAGTAACTACGAAAGATTTTACCGGTAGATGCACGGAAACGAACAAGACTAGTAAGAGTAAACACATTTGCTTAGGGGCCAAGTTATTCATCTGAACTAAACGCACGGAGGGCCGGACGGTGAGAGAATGTGTCGCAGATTGTATGCTATAGCTTTGCTGAAAAATTTACTATACTGATTGTCGAACATAGAATGAACTTTCTTCGTGCTCAAGCCATAATCTAAACGTATAGAATCATCTCGCTATAAATCTCGCCTATAGTGAAGCAATCGGTATAGAATAGGCAGCTGTAGAAGGCTGTATTCTACACCAGGACAAAATTAACAATTTGCATCAGACAACACTATTCCCTGCTTGTGTGATACCTAAAAGGTAACAATATATATATATACGTACATACACAGATATGATCTAAGGACTGCTCGTAGCCTATCCGATATTTCGTGTGGTAAAATTCGAGCATGTTCCATACAGCAGACGTGTAACATCATTTTTCCACACAATCATATGGTTTAAGAACATATTACTCCTTCAAACACAAATTGGGTAGCAAGCCTCCTTATTTATCGCAGCGTACTTGGTTAAAATAAATAATAATGGGAAAATCACACGCTCCTTGTCATATTTCATGAGAAAGATTCACGTTGATATCGTTACCTAACCACAATGGCATCTCGCTCTGAACTTCAACTTAGGATGTAACTCATAAGATTACCAAATAAAGAAATACTATAAACACGAACATTCAACGCGGAACCAGATTCTACGGAAATGGTATCAAAATTCTCCAAAAAAAATAACCCTCCACTGACCCGGATTTTTTTCGCCGACAACCTAATGTCAACGACAATTTTCGTTTCGAGGAAATTAGCCCAGCATTTTAGATGCACGGTCCCCTATTTCAAAATCTGATTGGCGATCTTGCCAGAGAAACTTGTGCATCAGCTATAGGATTCTAATAAAGCTAATTTATGTTATTGAGTACAAACTTGCATAGTACTCCTTTGTATGTAAAGTTGAAATAATAGATCTATTCATTTCAGTTGTCCTCTTTTGAGCAGTGCGCAGTGGAAGCTTTCATCGCTGAGCGTTAATTCAGTGTCTTCTTGGCTAGAAATATATTTGTTAGGCGACCATTCCTGTCGACGTTGCCGCAAGTACCGACGACTATTTCGACTCACCGAATTGTAAATTAATGCGCCCATTTAATCAACTTAAACACACTTAATAACATATTCGAAACCGGCGTACGTTGTTTCGCTTAGAAGCGATGGTAGCATCACACGTAAAAAATAGAAACATTTTTTTTATTCAGTCATAAGTGGTGTCCTCACAAAGTCTATCATATGTATGCATGTGCAGAAATTGAGATAATAAAAACATGGCTGATAGTAATTTGCTCATATTGCTAGTAAGTTGGAAAAGTTTATGGTCCATATTGATGCCCGGGGATGACCGCGTTTTGTTAGATTATTCGTAGAGGGTGTCCTAGTTGATAGTACGAACTATACTCCACGATGCTTCCATTTTGTTTGACGTTATGAGCTGGACCTAGATGATGACCTTCGTTTGTTTTTGAAATCATGCAGCATTAACCAGAATTTTATTGAACTTTCCTACAGTTGACTCCTATATGATATATCCTCTAGTAAGTCGTGTCAACTGTGCTGATCTGTCCAACAGTAAGTTTATGATCACTAATCAGATATATTGCTTAGTTAATCCATTGGTAGATTGTGAATAGAATTAGCCATTGTTCGGACGCCTTTTAGTACATCGCACTTTACTCAACAGCATACATCATGGTATCAGGCAGCTGTTGTGGTAAAGGTAACGGTCCGTATTATATATAGATGTGACGCAGTTCCCTTGTGCTTGCTCATGTTTTGCGCTTCTCGTGTGTGACTTGTAAGAAAGCAGCTTCTGCTGCACGGGAGGATTGAAGTGCAGTGCTCACCTCTGCCGAATTCGTTCGCATTTCCCACAGCTGAACGGGCCCTTCATAACGCATGTAAGATGAAAACAAGCGTTACAGGCTTGACATTGGACAACGGTCTGGGTGTCAAATGGGAAGATGGCGTCGCCTCGACGACAGTACTCACACACAAAACCCTGACCCCGACAGAGTTGACACGTACGGACGTGGTTTACGCAGGCCTCATGTGTCTGCTGTAGCGCACGAAGCAATTCGCCGTTGCGGGCCTAAAAGGTTAAGCTTATAAAGTTAGAAAAAAACAGGTTCACAGGTTGAAACAACATTTATGTATTAACTAGATGTCTAGTTCTTTTTCTGCAGTCCACTTTTTCCTACTTTACACTTTATTCACATGAATCTTTCACCCTAGAGATAAAATAAAGTTTTGTGTTTTTTCGTTACACGAGCCTCACAATTTACTACTTCAGTATTTGTTGTTCGGATTTACTAATAGAAAATTTTTTTTCAGACCGGTTCCACGTTAGTAAATTGTTTACAGCCATTAATACCGTCAATAGATGTGCGATTTGGTATGTCCGTCATACCTGCAAACTATTTGCTAATATATTGCTCAATTATATCTATGTTACATTTTTTACATTATAGAAAATGTGTGTATTTATATATATATATACATAAGTAATTAACGTAATATTACATTCGTGTAGCGTCGTTTAAATTGCTGAATTCAGCATAGAGCTGCTACGTATCAACAGGAACTTCGCCTTTGCATTTGCTCCTCTTATTTGATGTCGTAGGCTGAGTTTTCAATAGGATATTTATAGGAGCAACAAAAAAAAAGATTTTGCGCATATTGTATCATGATTTATATATGTATGTGGCGGCCCAACTATTTGTTGGGCCTTTTAACAAGTAAGTACAATCACTACATATACGATAAAAAGATAACAGACATACCTGTATGAAGTCATCCAGTGAATATTTAAATTGATCCGTGTAAAGGTGAATGGGTATCCGAAGCAAACGTGTTTTATTTGCATTCTTGCAGCTTTTGACGTACTGAGCAGACTTCATTAGTGTTCCACGAAGCTCCGTGACTTTAGCTAACATACGCGATTTCTTGAGTACGGTCCTGAGTGATAAAACGATAAAATAGTTATCAGAAAGCTAAATATTACAAGCATATCGTGATGAAGTTCTTAATAGTTGAAACACATTGTTGTGGAAATACTTTGCATTTCTTTTTGTTTCCTAGTAGTATAATCCGACATTTCCGTCTTTTCCCACTCTGTACTTTCTTAAAATGATACAACATCTTTCTGACTAAAGCAAAAATGACGTTTACAAACATTCAATTTGTTACTTACCGGTGGTATTCGTACAATTCGAAGACAGGATCACAGTACAATGACTCGAGAAGGTTCTTAGCGAAGTCCGATACAGGACACTGCGTGAAGTCCCACTTCAGCACGATTCGCGCTGGTATGACAGATTTGTAGTTATGATGGCATGTTTGACAAAAGTGTTTGCCTAAGTAGTGACAAAGTCTGATAGTCCGGTTGGGAAGCCCAAAGGGTAAGAAGCACAAATGCATAGTGTTATAATACAGAAACGAATGTTTCTAACTTCTAGAAAACTAGAAATTTTTCTGCACAGATTCTTTGTGTTTAGAATACAAATCGAGACTGCTGAAAAGAAAAATTCTTGAAGCTAACAAGTAAGCTTATATATGGATTTTGGAGGGATCTTTCTTTTCAAAACAATTTTTGTTAGAACTCTCATATAGGTCAACAATGTTCTGGCAATCACCGTAAATCAATATATTGATTTTCGTGAAAAAAATGCCGAGTGAGACAAAATTTTCTGGATAGCTCGAGAAATCCGAAAGCTTTGTTTTTACATCTGTACAATATATATGATATTGTAAATAGTTATGTACTTCACACTGTAAGCATATATATGCAAATACTGTCCCACCTTGGCCGACTTGTTTTCGGAAGCATTTTCATTCCGCAGCCGGCACAACGTAAATTTTGTTTTTCGAGAGCGATCTTCACAGTGCTTTCAGCGAAGATCTTATTGAATATGATCTGCTTTCTGGGTGGGGCCCAGAACTCACTGCCACGTTTACGGATGTTATTAGAGCTATCATCCGGTGAAACAGCCCAGCTATCGGGCAAAACGATCATCCTAACAAAATCACACAGAAATCACAGAGCGTTACAATTTTTTTTTTTTTGCTAACGGAAGCATCATCAACCACTATTTCTGTTATTAAAAATATTCATGTTATAATAATATAATGTACTCAGCACCCTCGGCAAAAGCAGGTTAATACAACATAATGTTATTTCTTGAGTGCTGCATGCAAGCGCATGTGAGAGGAAAATTTTGCATAAAACGAAACAAATACATACTGTTGAGGTGTTTCATCATTACCGACAATCCACTTTAAATCGCTAGCTTTTAGCAAAGGTTTGTCCCGAAAATTTCGAAGTAGACAAAGTGCAGTTCTCTCAGCGGACATTGGCGCTTGAGATTCGATCGATCTAAAGGAAGCCTTAGATATGGAGTCGAATTCGCCTTCATCGTGATCCGAGCTCGAAAGGCTAAGCGAAGCCGTGCAGTCCTTATTAGAAGCGGTCATGTCTTCACTGACAGACAGTTGCATTCTGCAAGATTCTCGTCGTTTTCGGCGAGTCCGAAGGCAGGCTTCTGGCGTGGACTCACGCTCAAATTCAGATTTGCTAATATTTCGAGCTATAGAGATTGACAGAGGTAAATACATAAAAACGTGACCACATTATTAATTAGGTCGCACGTCGATCTTAGCAAAGGACCGGCCTTTGGTAACAATCGGTTCATTTGACAACAGTAAGTAAGATTAACTAGAGTAGCAGAATTTAACTGGCTGTTGATTTAACATCTGAAAGCTCGCGTTCGATCTACTTACCAGTAACATTTTTTCGACTCCGTTTCCAGCATTGAAAATGCTCCATCGCTTGAATTACGACTTCTGCAATATAGAAATGGGCGTTTTCTTTGTCGAGGGGCGACATGAAGGAATTGAAATCGCTAGATGATAAAAAATCGTAGAGCGTTTGACCCTTTTTTGGTACTGGAAAGCCGCATTCGGTCGGTGCAAGAACATCCCGAGCGCCTACAAAAGTTAACGGAATCTTCGTATAGAATCAATTAAGACATCGGCTTCTAGTGAACTAAATACAATAGCGTTGAGACGCCACGTCTAAACAGTAGGGTAGTAAACTATAGGTACCTTCTGCTACTGCGCATAAACTCTCAAACTAAATCACCTATATTTTAATGAAATATAAGATAAACAAATTATCTTTTCCCGCGCGCACCTTTGCTCCTATTCCCCAGTGCTCGGAAACTCCTCTGCAACAACTTACCGCCATCAAGAAAGCTGGAGTTCTTGCGCAGACTCGAATTGCTCGAGAAGGCGCTACTTCGTCCGCCGCTGCTGGATATTAGAGGCGAAGTAGATGCGGAACTGTCCACCTGTGACTCGGTTGGAGATCGATGGGTGGATGGAACCGTGCACGGTATCGTAGTCACCACCTGCAGCAAAAACAGCAAAAACAATATTAGCAATAGCGAAGATGATCCACCGAGTTATAGTAAATTAGAAACAGCCAATTAGCTCAAAAAAATACTATGTAGTATAACAGGAGGGAATGTGAGGAGAACAGCTTAAATTTGTCTTTTGATCCAACTGGGTCCATCCCCACGTTATTACGTTTGTGCCAATTAGTTCACATGAGGTGATGCGGTCAAACGAACTTTATCCATGCATTATTTGCTATATACAAACTTTCGTAGAAAACATTATTAATTACAAAATGAAGAACTGCATTGTTGACTATCTTCCACGCGTAATGATAGGATGGAAATATTAGATTGTACCTGTCTTAAATCCTGACATGGAAACGAAGACGCTTAAACTCGTAAATGTGCTAGTGACAAAAGCCGGATTAGTCCCTTCGGAATATTATAGACACTCATTAACCTGAAGGCCATCGGTGGCCAGCAGAAGCAAATGTGGCGACACAAGTACGCCCTTATAATCATAACTTACCGTTATTCACTTCGACCAATACGCTGGGCAAACAATACAGGCGATTCCTACAGGGGACACAAACGGCCTTCAGAAGCTACGTGTATACGGTGGCCCGAAAACGTCAAAGCACTTTGAATGACCAGTGTTCAATTACATAAATAATAATAATTAATATTTCAATTTTACAAAAATCTACATAAGCTGACAACGACGGGCTCTTGATTCACATGTCTTCAAATCTTTCAGTGCCGTCAATTTAGTCGTGTAAGCTTTATTATTACGGTACTTCCACAAGAACAAATCCATTGGCGTTAAGGCTGGGGAACGAACCTCTTCAAACTCTTCTGTTTAAAAGGTCCTCACTAAGATATATTCCCATATAACAATGGTAATACGCAGTCGCTTTGTGCGATTATAAATGAAACTCCCTACCTCCACCAAAGTCCTTCTGAATGCGTGGTAAAAATAGTTCTTGCAGTACATTCAAGTACTGCTGTGCTGTTATAAAATAATACTTCAAATGAAGTACAGTGTATTTTTCAAGAACACTGTATATATATATATACACCAGCAGCTCAAGACGCGAATAGATCTTATTTCTTTCGCTAATAGTTAGGAAGCCCCTATAAGATAATAGCCTGGGGCAATATTGTTTAGTTGCCGCAGTCTATTCACTAATCCAACAGCGAAATGCCGTTGTTAGTTTGTTGTGGCAAATTCAAATTCCATTTCCAGTGTGTCACATATTTCCAGAAGTAAGGGTTGTTTCCGGGATTTATATCGACTTAGTCCACGAACGGATGTCGTATGATAATCAGCGGCACAAACTGAACGTAGCACGCTTTATCGACGATTAGTTGCCATTCGAAACGGACAGGCTTTACTAGATCTATTAATAAAGTGCTAAACGTACATTTTACTCAAACTCACAGGTTACCCGTGCAATGGGAGCGTGTTTAACTTCAATATTTCAGGAAGCATAAGGTGGTCGATAGTGATATAAAATTGAGCCTAGATAGGCCATTCGTTTTATGCTGAAAGGGGTTATTAGCTGTTTAGAGCAATATCTAACAGTATTACCTAAAGTGAAAACCCGACGCACTTATTTTGCTTGTAAGAGAAGAAGCTGAGATCAGTTTATTATAGTTTTGTACCTATTAGCCATTGTTGCAAGTTATTAGGGGGAGACAACGTGTAGAAGAGGAGATAAAACTTCAACGTCATTAGAACGTCCACTTTTATAGTCATTTTTGCGGTCATGAAACCCGTTTCGAAAAGATCAAACAAATGCGGGGCAAAAAAAAGGACGAAAATCGAAAGAATACATCATAAATCTAAAGTTCGAACCCCGAAATTACTTCGGCGCGCAGAACTTTTTTTTAGCAGAATCTTTTCCTCCTGAAGAGGTACCTCCGTAGTAGGAGAGAAAATGGAACAAGACCAATGGGGCGACACATCTATATATATGTATATATATATATATATATATATATATATATATATATATATTACTAATGTTTTGAGGCATGCCGGGGCCGAAAACTGTAAGTTGGAAAATCGGCCAAGAATAAGAAAATAAATACTAACTACAAACAAGACGTGAAATAGGCATCTTCTAGGCACTCCAACTTCTCCATTACGGTAGTTGCCATACAATCTACAGCTCATAGGGCGCTAATCCTGTTTAATAAATATAACTTATGAGAATTCTATGCAAATAAAAATTTTTGGATTAAATTTAAGAACGTGGTCGATACTTATAGAGAGACCAATTATGTTCAGGGTTGATGTATTGAGTTATTAAAAAAATATTAACCCCTAACTTTTGCTGAATAGCCTTCAACTTTAAGGGCGCCTTTAACATATTAAGAACTAATACATTTCTCTTTTTCCCTCGAGTAAAAGAGGTTCGATTAATAATGATCATAAACACATTTTAGTCTTAGCCTAACGCTCGTTTGTTTTTTCGATCAAATGAACGATTTCGATTAAATGAATGATTTCAATAGACGAGCATTGTAAAGAGCTGCAACGACTGTAACGGTACTCGTGCGAGTAGATTTAACTCTCGCGGGGATTTCTGTACACGGAACCTCCCGTCTCAAGAAATTCCACTTTTAATCAAGCGATCGCGGTATGATGAGCTGCTAATTGCTTGTCAGGATGCCCCTTGGTACCGTTTCGTGGAATTCATAGTTTCAAGTCTAATCACTTTGGGTGTTTTTTCTCAAGATAACATGAAACCTTACACTAATGATAACGTATGCTTGGCATATTTTGAGCTACCTGCGCCTCAACGTGTTTTTTTTTTGAAAATCAATCAAACGTCGTCTGCAAACATCGACAAAATCCCCAAATCGTATTTTCTTCGCACTTTAGCTGTTAGCATACGTCGAATCGTAAACTTAACTCATAGAAACTATTGTGTATACTTAGAAAATGATTACCACATATAAAGTGCATCTTTTAAAATTGTATTAAACGCTTTCTATAAGTCCCCTATAGGCTTGCGCGTCTACATGTCAAATTTTTCTGATCTGTCGTTTCTTTTGCGTGGATTACAAATGCCACTTCTGGCAAGCATGCTTATTCAATATAAGCACAATCCACAACGATTATAGCTTTACTTGAGACCTTAACTGCTAGCTAGTCTGCCTTCTCTAATCTGCCGGCAGCTTTTCTTATATTAACCAAGCTCTAACTTATACTAACCAAGCTATATCGGTAAGGGTAACCTCGTTAAAGTGTAGCTCAAATGCGCCACAAAACAAAAATTCCAGCGGGTTTGAATTTTCGGATAACAGCAGGGCAAAGGTTGAAAAAATTGCGAAGGTTCAATATAGCAAAAAAACCCAAGAAGAAGTGGAAAAAAACACATTCGTTCACCGTTGCAGCTTAGCTGGACGGTGCTATTAGCAATTGATATTCTCTGCATACATTTCGCCATTTTATTTTAGAACAAACTGGCTTTCGGCTGGTATCAAGAGTAGCGAATACATGTTATGACAAATAGTCTGGCAAGTTTTTCCCCAGTTTGAACGCGCCATATGCTTTCGTTTGCCATTAAATAACATTCGGCAGCATGTTTGAAGCGTAACAATCTCTGAGGACTTATACTTAGCCCTTCCACACTCTCGGAAACTACGAAAAACGCTCTTTACGGCCCGTCTGAAAAAATTCGTTTGTCAAAACAATTCGACTCTGCTAACCTCAAATAGATATCGTATGCGCTTCTAGATGGCTGCGGTCAACTAGTATTAAAATGGCGTTTCATAGAGTACACGATCACGATAAGTCCACCATCCTCATTTGATTATCCCTTAGAATGACACCGTTCGCTGAAAGCCTCAAGACATCAATTAAGACCTAAATAAAGTATTCTGGTAAAGTAGTTTCCATCTTTGATTGATTTTATACATCACTGATCGTAAAATAGTTTCTAGATATTAGCCGGCATCTATAAATCAAAATGTGTGGGTGCACGATAAGTACATACCTAGTGAATGCACCATCCATACAATTTACATATGTTCTAGATCAATATGTTCCAGGTAGCCCCGTACATTAGAAGTGCAGCAGCTGAAGAAACCCCGTGCTTTGGTGGTATCACAACCCTAACAAAATCGACGGAATCGTTAGCTCTCGTCTAGATGCTACCCGCGTACTCTGGTCATCGCTATCCTGCGACTACTAAACCAACGGGGAACACGGAGATTCAGTGCCTACGTCCGAGTCGGGGGAGGCGACAATCATTCTACGATTACCCCCTCATCTGACAACAAGCCGATTCTCGGATCGTTTACCGACGGGCCTTGGCAAAGAAAAATGCCAGAAGTCGTGTTAAATACAACGCGTCTCATTGTGCAATGAACAGTGACGCCAAATTGTACGGGTGCACAGCGTGAGCCTTTAAATGTTCGTCCGATCGACGTTTTTTCCCAGGGAATTAGTTGTATTACAGGCCACGGCGGGACGGAGCAACCATAATATTTGTAGTTGCGGTTCAATTCGCTTCAACGACATCATAAATAATGGTCATTCCAGATCCACAACGCAGTTCTAGACGTATCTTATGTTCATGGGGCTTTAGTGCTTTCTACCTAAGTCACAATCAAACAGTGCCCTTTCTTTCCCTTCAAACGTCAACGCTTCTTCGTCGCAGTAACATCGTTATAGACTAGCGCTCCGTCATCACTTTTTGTTTTCTGCATTCTCTTTTCCGGTATAACTTGATTCGCGAATGTGCTACTCTATAATCCACTCTGTTTTCCTCACTGACTGGAGACCTTTTACAATTGAAACTTCTGAACAACTGTGAAGCAATTGGCTAGCCCTCCAGCGCTTTCCGAACGAGTTCTGTCGGCAAATATAAGACGTCCATCAGTGTTGCATATATACACACAAAACAACCGTGGTTTTTGTTGCTGTTGTTTCTATCTATGGTAGAACTAACTATAGAGCAAACCATCAATATCAGTTGGTCGACTGATAGTGACTTGCC